CTAAATAATACATGGAGATTAGAGTTCATTCACAATGAGTTTGTCACATATTAAACCTAACTGTATATAATCAAAATTTCATGAAAATATTTTTTAAATTACTGTCACAAACTAAAATAAATCTAAAAAGAAATAATCACTAAAATAACCATTTTGAAAAGAGAATAATTAAATACTCTTTTTTTTGGTCAGCAGGACATCTACTATTAATGTTCATGCAGGCTGTTAAATACAAAACATCTCTACAAGCACATTAATATTTCAAATTAATTTTTGGTTTATTAGGTTTAAATCCTCAGCTTCTGCATGATATTCAGTGTTGTACTAGTGATGTTTATTTCTTAATTTAGCTTTAAGTGTTTTGTGACATTCAGTAATCAGTCCATGTAATATAAATTTTGTCAAAAGCATCAGAGTGCATATTCTGATGTACAATGATTTATATACTGAATACGGTGTTTTATGTGTCCTGAGAGACATGAAAGACAGCAAACTTGATTTCCCATGTGACAAATTTTTCCCACACCATTTAGGCAGATAAAATGTATGAAACATAAAAAGCTTAAGGAAAATCCCAACTTCTTTGAAATAAGGATCATTTTGCAATTTCTTCCAACAAAGCCAGGATTCATCACCGATTCATGCCCAGACCTCCACCTAACCATTCTGTCTCCAGCCATCTCCCTATTGAAGCTGCTTCTCAAACTAGGCCACAGCAGTTCTGAAATTCTACCACAAAAATTCAGGATTTGCAGCTGACCACCTCTAGCAAGGACAGCCATGGAACAGGCTTTTTCACTCTCAGCTGATATGGTGGGCATAAGCAAAAGACCTTCGTCAGAGTGCACTTCGTGCCAATCCCTTTGCAATGTATATAGTCCAAAGGTCTCAGCACGTGATCTGAGAGAATCTGAGATCTCTAGACATCTACAGATCAATCCAAATATGTTTAACCTATAGCAGAAAAAGTAGGTATATCCATTTTGTCAAAAAACTGTTACTACTGAACATGCACTGAAGCAATGGCAGGCAGCCAGAGACAACAACAGGGAGTAATCTGAGTGCAACTGTTTGTTCACATGCACATCTTGTTTATGAAAACTTGCCTACCTGCTCCCAGTATAGGTACATGCACAACCTGTCCTTTTGCAATTAAGTACTTCAGTATCCAGAATCAGTGCCCAATTCTCATTTAGGAATTCCACCACTGATAAAAGAGCATATTTTGACTATAGACAAAATGTTTCTTGTCTGTTTTATGTCTTTGGTCATAAGAGTAGGAATTTTGTCTGTACACACATTGAAAGACAACATGCAAAATATGTGATTATAACCAGGGGAGAGAGGCTTCTTGTTTTGCTTTTAGAAATGCTTTCTCTGTCCCTTCATTAATGCAACAGTCAGACAAATGACCTGTTTGGTATTAGTGACTGATCTTGACCTTACAACTCAGGAAAAACAAATTATGTGGAAAAATCATTCAGGTTAAAATCTGAATGCCAAAGGTCTGCAAACAATCCACCTCTGAAGCACTACAAAGCTTAAGTAAAAAGATACAATTTGAAGTAAACATTGCAAGTATTGTTACTGGCACTAAGATGAGCATGACATCTCTTCTGTGCCCCTAAGTACTGCAGTTCCTGTCCTATCTCCCCAGATTTTTACTATACTGCTCAGGGAAAGAAAAACACTAATCTACAGACACTGAGGCAAAATTCTGGTCTTGTGGATGTTCTTCCAGGCACCATTAATCACCATGATATTTTCATGTTTTCAGCAAGATATGTACTTGCAATATATTTGCACAATGGCTGCTCCAAAATATGCAAATACAAGTATTTGCTGGGCCAAGAAATTTCAGATGGAAATTTTAGTACACATTTGAATCAGTATTTCTGACATTCGAATACTTATAGTCTAAAATTAGAAAACAGCAAAATACTTACAATTTTAAGATTTAATCAGAAGAAACTGAATACTGATTTTCAGATTTAAACAACCTTTAGTTCTTCATATGAATTGCCATTTTCAAAATGTTGCTGATAGGGTGCTATTGAAACTTAAACCCTGTCAAAACTAGTCTTTGCTAAAATACTCAGTAACTAGCTATTTACATTTTTAAAACATAAACCCAATTAAATGTCTGTCAAAGAGCTAATTACATAATACATATTAATTATCTAATTATATTTTTACTAAGCTACACAATTAGCATTATATAATTTCATATTTTATAGTTGTTATGTCATCAGGAAAAAGGTAGGTAAAACCCAACACAATGTACATTGGATAACAATAAGACAGTGACATCTGTGAGTCACATCCACTGTTTCCAGATGGAAAAGTGCCTAGATGTGCTGCGAAACAAATGGACATGCTATTAACAGGAACTGGATATTAAAATTTACAATCTCTTCAAATCTTTTTATGTCCCTTGGTATTTCTGGATGCAGTGATCATATATTTAAAGACACACTGATCTGATCTTAGAGTGGACATGAAATTTATCTCAGACAGCTAACTGTATTCTGAAGGATTCTACATTGAATAATTGTTTTGTTAGAATATTATGCAGCAGTGTGATTTTGTTTTAAAGAAAAGCAGACTCATTGGCTAACTACAGAATTTTTCAGTGTTCTAAACAACTCAAATTGATGGAAAGATTGGGGGGAGGGTTCACTCACATTCTGATTTCTATTGATAACATCCTAGGAGCAGATTTTTGAAAGAATATTTTCACTGATAATTTCATAGGAGCAACTCTACACACACAGGATGGTGGGGAGAAATAGTAATTAAATGCAGTTTTTAAACTACATACTTGTTCAAATTTTGAGATAAGGCTTTAGGTTCCATGTAGTTACACATGGAACATAGCAATTCTGATTGTTTTAATGCTTGAGTCTACCCATGTGACTGAGCTTAAAGATGTCATTTTCTAGAAAGTTATCCGTTTTTAAACACCAGTAAAATGACTCAGCAAAAGGACATTTTTTTTGGGTAGGCTTACCCCACAAAAAACTCTGAGTCAGTATCATGGACAAGAGAAGGCAGTGAGCCCCCATTCTTCCAACAGGTATTTCTCTAAGGACACCAGATACAATAGTTCGACTTCATCCAAGGATGTGATGAAGGGACTGAAGACTACAGAAGACTAAGTGTGAGTATTCAAAAGAGAGGGTTGTGTGCCCAAGTCCAAAATTGTCATTGCCAGCCTGATCCACTGGCAGCCACTTACCCCTGGAGACACCAAAATGCTAAGTGCCAGCCTGGAAACATCGTACCTGAGATCTACCCTCGCATGTGCTTAGACTTGCCCCAGACTGAGCAGAGAGCTACCTACTTCACACATGCTACATCACGTGACATTTTACATCCTTCTGTGAGAGACTACCTCATACAGACCAACACAGCCAGGCCCCTTCCAAAGTGTAGCCATGTCTGCTTTTTGAGGCACTGCTGAGGGAAGCAGTAACAGGGAGTTGCTATGTATTACATTGACATTCACATGAAATCATCAATATGGCAATCATGAAGCAGACAATGCAAAATTCATACAGCCAGAGAGAAAAGGGAAAAAAAAAATGACGGTGAAGTAATCAAGGATAAACTCAGGTTCATGCACAGATATAGATACCTCTCTTTAGACCTGAGGCAGGTAACTTTTCAGATGCAGGATGCTGAAGTACACCCCAGATATCAGTATTTCTTTTTGGCTAGTTCCTGGGGCTCTATGTGACAAAGGCGAGAACCATCCATGTCCCACCACAAGAAGCTAACAACTAAGCTCAGCAAGTTCCAGTCACAGGGATGGGATATCATATATGCAACAGAAATTCAGTTTCATCCAGTAATTATGACTTGGGGGGGGGGTGTGTGTGTGTGCACGTGTGCGTGTCACACACCTTAATACAAGAGTATAAGTACAGTAGTAATCAGAGTAAATTTGGGATCTAATGAACAAACTGAAATGTGATTATTTCAGAGATTATCTGAATTAGTAGGCCAATATAGAATCATAGAATGGTTTGGGTGTGAAGGGACCTTAAAGATCACCTAGTTCCAACCCCCCTGCCATGGGCAGGGACACCCTCCACTGGACCACGTTGCCCAAAGCCCCATCCAACCTGGCCTTGAACCCTTCCAGGGAGGGCGCATCCACAACCTGTTCCAGTGCCTCACCACTCTAACAGTGAAGAATTTCTTCCTAATATCTAATCTAAATCTACCCTCCTTCAGCTTAAAGCCACTACCCCTTGTCCTATCACTCCATGCCCTTGTAAACAGTCCCTCTCCAGCTTTCCTGTAGGCCCCTTTAGGTACTGGAAGGCTGCTCTAAGGTCTCCCCAGAGCCTTTTCTCCAGGCTGAACAATCCCAACTCTCTCAGCCTGTCCTCAGAGGAGAGGTGCTCCAGCCCTCTTATCATGTTCGTGGGCCTCCTCTGGACTCAATCCAACAGGTCCATGTCCTTCGTATGTTGGGGGCCCCAGAGCTGAATGCAGTAATATCATAAGACAGTTCTCACAACTTCTCACCTTCTTCTACATGGTGACGTTAGATGGTTTCTGCAGTGTATATTATCAAGTATCTGTCCAATCTGTGACACTGCACAATGTTTCTGTTCAGCTGAAGTTGTGGCTAGGCAACTACACGAGAATGGTAAAGCAAGTGTGGAAGCCATTCTAAGTACTAAATTGTCAGTCCTGCTGGCATTTACATATTTGGAAACTTAAAGTTAGAAAGACTTATTGAAAGTCATCCATGCACGTTTACAGGACTTGATTACAGAACACTGAAAAACAGCAAACTCCTTCCATCATCAGCTATATCTGAGCACCGCTGTGAGAAATTAGTAATATTTCTCTTTTTAAAATAAATTATGAGATTCTACTCTCTTGTTCACTTTTGCATCCCTGCTCAAATCCGGAAGTTTACACATTGGAATTGCACCTCAGTACTTTCAGAAGACAGTAACATGCACAGAAAAATAATCTCTCACCTTCTAGATCTTCCTTTTCAAAATGTGTTTTGAGAATGGAGCGAGTTCCACCTCTATCCACAACAGCCTCTTCATCATTTCTCTGCAAAACAGAAAGAAGGACAGGTAAGCTGCTTCTCACTTAGAAACTATTGGCAAGACTGTATAGTACCATGAAATAAATATTAAAAGCATCTTTGTTTATTTACTCTTCCTACTCAGGAACAAAAAAGGTTTTAAGAACTTAATTTTCCTTATTAAAATCTATTTCTTACGCATTAGGTTTTTTTGAGGTATGATTACAGATAGCTTTGAATGAAGAAGTTCTCCTGTTAAAACCTGAAAGATGATGAGTGAACACTGGTTACTGGAAACTAAGAAAAACATGAGTCAATAAGACAATAAAAGAGATGAGAGAAGAAATGTCTGGTTGAGGCAGCTTTATTCTTGTACTCTTGAAGAAAGGGATTGCACGTGTATTTTTGTCTTTAGACCAGGATCCTGAGCAGAATTCCCAAATTATGAGCACTAATACTTATACTAATACTTTAGCAAAGCTAGAGAATGATACTCAGTGACAACATAATAAGAAAGAAAACTTTAATACCATGAAAATAACTGGCTTCACTTACTGAAGTGAATTGCAAAGCTTTTGCTTTTCTTTAGAAACGCCAAGCTGTAATTACAATAGAGATAGCACGCACCAATAGCAGAAAACAGAAAAGCTATTCTTCCTCAGGAACATGTATTTCATATTTAATTTTATAATGTAGTCATACATGCATTTTAACTGTATTCTCTACTGCACTGTAAACGTATTACGCAATGAATTAGTATATTGTGCTCAGGCTCAAAAAGCTACAGAAATTAATGATTTTGGTCACTCCTGACATGAAAAAAATCATGTCTCCCTAAGTATAGAAATCTTTTGGGAGTTCAGCAACAACAATTGGCTTCACTATGAGTGTGACATCACCAACTGTAAAAAAACAGTTACTAAATACAGCCTACATTTCACAGCATGTTTAGAGTGGTTTCCAATAAATGATGATGAAAGGATAAATTATACAAAACCATCAATTAATGTATCATGAATATATATTTATTTGTCACTAGTGGAAAGAATTTAGTAAGTGATATCAGAACTAGAAATGCATGATATTAACATATAAAATTGGTATCTTAATGGAAGTCTGAAGCAAGGGATTTGAATACCAGTGTTACATGCTAAATATGTATCTATATATAGAATGCAATAGAATATAACAAGAAATTAAACTACATGAGCACCTCTCCTTAAAGCAAAAAGATTCACATGTAGAGCTGGATGTTGTGCATTCTGGATATAAGTTTTTGTTTCAGGCTTCTCTCTTTTTTTAAAATAGCTGTCATGCTGTAGCTATCTCATACAGAAAAAACCTAGGAACGTGTCAGCACCAAGCATCTGGACTGTTAAAGAGACTGTTACAGTGTCTTTATTAGAGCTTTCCTGCAGATAATAGTACATAACTAAAATCTGACAAAGCATAAAGGCCTTCTATTGAAACTGTTTTGTCTTTTAATAATTTAGAATTAGCTAATAATCTCTTAGGATGTACCAGGGCAGTATAATTTCGCACAAACTATTTGATCATTTTAGGTAAAAAGAATGCATTATTTTAAGCAGTTAGACACAACTGGGTGTGTTTGTCTTGCTAGCACAATGCCATGCCGCTGGGTGAATGGTTAGGCAGGATGCCAAAGGCCAAGTATTACAGCCACATCAGAAGTGGTGCTATTCTAGCATAAGACATAGCCATCATTATTTTACTGATCCTGAAAAGGCCTTATGGAAGCAAAATTAGGGGAAATTCTACAATGGGGAAAATATTAAATTGCTGGACAGTTTAAAGCCTTTAAGATCATCTAAGTAAACTAAATAAAAATTAATTCATTAATATTTAACAAAATATGCTCATACACTTTGACTTGTCCTTTCACATTGTGTTCAGCTTCTGGCAATCTTGTTTTTCCTTGCCTCCTCTTCCTGTAATGTCATAGCAAGTCTCAGCCTTCCTCATTCTCAGAAGTGGCTCATTCCATTAATATTACAGGGAAAAACAGCTTAATCAGGAGTATTGTTTTGTTGCCAATTAACTTGGGAAACTGTGAGCAAAGTCCAATTAAACAGGCCTTGCACTGTACACTCTCACTTCCCAGGGAGCAGTATGAAAGCCATCTTGCATTTACCAATGCAAGAGTCACACCACATTTAGTTTGGAAGTAATTTCTCTGATTCCTGTACTGTCTCCTTGGAGGTGGGGAGAAGGGAGGGAAGGGTTCACTAGTAGTTTAGTGCAATTAGGTCTTAATCTCATCTGGAGGTAAGCACTATCACAATACAAGTAAAAACACTGCACTTTCCCATGACGACGAGAGACTAGAAACTCAATTGCAGTTGGTAATGCTCTGCCTTTTATTAGCATGTCGGGAAAACTGTGAAATTATTATGTTTAAGTGCTGCAATAAATGAGAGTTTGAAACTGAAAGTATAGGCAAGACTAACCATAAGACAGTTGTGGAAGGTAGAATTCATGCTCTGGATGACTTTTAATACACCAAGCAACCACCAACCTCCACACACTAACATCCTCAAAGCCATGAATCTGCTGCAGTTTTGCCCATCAGTTTCAGCAGG